GCTTGTGTCTTGCAAATGAGTCAGAAGACATCGAGCAGACATTATTCATAGAGTGATGTGGAAATCCAAGTTTGACTCATGACCTACTCATGATTGATTGTGCACTTGTGTGTACTTGTAAAACACGATACTGTTTCACATCATTCTTTAAGAGTATTGTACTCATATGCATTCAGGTCTGAGAAGGAAAAGACTAAATCAGATCTCGTCAGGTCACGCTTTACTGTATGATGAATAGTTCAGTTTGTACAACCATTAGGCATGCATCTCCGTGCTGCGGTTTTGGTTGTTGTTTTTTGACCACCTATTCGGATGAGGAATGGGAGAAAGACAGGAAGGTTGAAAGTGATGAATAGTAGAAGGGTTAGACCGCATGGTCACGATGACCCACTGTTTTTGTTACGATAACTTGCGACCTGAGTCCTGAGGCCTGGAGTAACAACCTATAAAGCCACAGGAGAATAAACGCGGTATGGAAGCGATGGATATCATGACCATTGAAGATGAGAGATGACGGAAAGATTGGAAAGGGTCAAAGCCTCGACTACTATGGTCCAATAAGTTTATGCAAATCGATTTTAATTCAGTACAGATCACACTTGCTCTGTGTTTGTTCTAACTAGTTACCGCTAGTATTACTATTTACAATAGGTAAATTAGTGAGCACTCTAGTTTGAGAGATATTAAACTAGACAGACAGGAGGAGAAAATGAATGGATCACATAAATACGCATCGCACTAGCAAGAGGAACTCACTTTGAGCTGATTTAGTATATGCATACAATTGGAACGGACCAAACGAGCACTATTCGACACATTCATGTCAAGAAAGTGTAACGGAACACGGCCCTGTAGGACAAAGGAGGCAGAATGGAGAGTACAGATACCTAAATACTCATGACGGAACCAATTACACATAGCTGGCAAATGTGCCACAACTTACGAGGATAAAATACGCAGAATGCGTTCACAGGTTGTGAGCATGTTTCTTCCCGATTGATTTAACTGAGGAAGGGGATAACCTCGGGGTCCCAGAAGCCTTTGGCTAGTAAGCCGACCTGCAAGACAGTAGGACGGAGCTTAGAGTCCGCAGTTCATTAGAGGCCAGTGTCCAGTTCGTTGGATGGGTTGGGTCAAACGTCCAAAGTGTCCAATACTCCACGATGCCCAATTGAGCCGGCAACCTCTGTCGCAACCAGGAAAGTGTGGGTGTTCGTGGTTCGTACGGCTCTTCTTGATTAGTTTGGAATAAGGGCTTCTATCTAACTCTCCTAAGTGAACTGCCAGTGGTTCACCGACTAGGTTTAAGCCCGATGTTGTCTTTTCGTCCTCTCATTTTATTATCAAAAACACCGCCACTAGAAGGCAGAGAGTAAGGTTTAACCAGCAGAGGCGATTGGAGAACCTTGGTCATTTGGGAGCGCTACGCGATACCTAAGGAAAGGGTAATCAGTCACAACCAGAGAAGCCCACCTCGACCATATTGAGGCTTTGGGAGAGTCCTCCTTAATATATCAATGCTTAGGCACAGTATCACCGAAAAAGATAGAATTTTTCCGTAACATTACCATATGTTCAAAAAAAAGAACTTTCGATAAATAACGAAAACATCGTGTTAATTAGGTACTCCACAATGGAGCCATGGACGACTTTTGTTAGTTTTTTTGTCAACCAATGTATGGCCGTTTCTTGTGGAGCCGGAGCAAACATTTGTGTTGGAAAACCATGAACAAAGAGATAGGGTATTTTACGTGGATACTTATCGTTGATGATTTCCTGGCCGTTAGCAAGGTAAGAAAACAAAATGTTTCCCAACAATTACTGATGTTCAACGTGGCACCTGAGACGATAAAATATACACTGGAGATAAAAAAGATGAGTATATTCATTTCCTCGAGATGCTGCCTTCCCCAAATGAAGATGGAACCTTTGAGACAAGCGTTTATAGAAAGCGCACTTGGATTGGACAATATTTAAACCTCCACAGTACAGTAAGGATAGGTCAAAACAGAAACCAGTGCACTGTCTAGCACACCGAGGAAGAACTATTTGTTCCAACAAAACCCTGGCAGATAAAATAAAGTATGAGCTGGTTGACACAGAGGTAACGCACATGCCTTCCATGCGATTGGTCCGGAGTTCAAATCTCAGACGGGACGGTAGATATGCACTACTGATGAGCTCTATCTAATAAGACTGAAATTCCAGTCTAGTGCTTCCGAGTGTATGGTCGAATAGATGAACTGAGGATTGTGAGTGAAAGTGAAGTCCGATGGATAGTCAGTTCAAATCAAAAGACTATTCATCAATCTACCCAATTTTAACAACGCTGTCAGAAATCTCTTCGAAAAGAGGCTTTCGAAAGCACTAAAATTCACACTTTAAGATGCCCAATTCGAAATATTATACTCAACCTATCCGGTCATTGCTGAAAGACTTAAAGATCAAACGTGGCTGTCAAGCGTTTCTATGTATTTATCGGGCTACATAAGCCACAACAACCGACAGTTGAAAAAGTAAATTCAAGAGCATCAGCTGGTTTGGTTCAGAATAGGAAGCTCAACTGTGGAGCATCAACACGGTGCATTCGTTAGTTGTCAAAAGGTCATTGAAGGTAATCTACCGAACCCCGATAAATCTGCCTAATCCACTGAGGCAAAGTGTGCTACGCACAGTAGAAGCGGATGCGCCATCTCTCAAACTGTCCAAACACAAACGGATTATGCACCCCACACCACCGTCTGAAGTTACCACGGCCAGACAATGTGACTTAATTAAAAGTTGTTCAGAAAATCAAACGAAGACTGAATGATCTTATCGCGTAATTAGTCTAATCCAGTGATTACAACTCTATAACCTCTCTCTTCCTCCAGTTCACTTTAGGAATCATTGACTTATGTTGCCACCCTGTGATCCTATACTGGTGTGGAAGTGAATAATCGAACTCTCAATTGTCTCAAATGCCCTTTTTAAAGGAACGGTATCGGAAATTCATTATGTACTATATACATCACCAAATCATTCTGAATTGTCACTGGAACGCGACTAGCAATACAAAGGAGCAAAACGATACAATCTGATTGGTCCTCTTGCAAAAACATAAGAGTATGATGTAATATCGCGTTTGTATGGATCGAATTTATATCAACGAAAATTTGAGCAAAATAATCAAGCTCCTTTGCATTTAGTGCACAAATAATTGCTGAAGTATTGGAGCGTCGAAAGGAACGCAGTGTGTTGTTGGCTAACTAAAACAGAAAGCATGCCAGATGTTCCTATTACTTAGCACAAAGTCCCCTACATATGAATGATTACCCTGTGTATATGTACGGCTAGGTGATTTTTTTTTCTTCTATTTGCACCCAAGTGCCATGAACAATTAAAAAAAAAAGAAATGACCCTCACAGTAATGAGTACACCATCCGTTTGATAACGGGAACTGGCAAACCAAGTTCCAAATTGGGATAATATGAGGTCATTATAAAAATGAGTGAAGTAGTTACACGGGCAACGGTGAAGCTGTCCACTATCGAAATCGGTTGCCGGTTGCGGGAGCAATCTAATCCATCTGGTAATATCCCGAATAAAAAGTCCACTATATGAACGCATTTGGAGGCCGGCAAAGTTGGTTGAAAGGTACTGCTTACTAGGGCTGATTTAGTGACAAAAATGGAAAATTTTCTTGGTCGAAAAGCTGATGAATTTCAGTAGATTGGTTATAAGATGCATCTTATAGAGTAAAAACAACAAATGCATGCAACAGATCAGACAACGCAAAGGAGCGACGTACCACAGAATTGGACGGGATCGGAACACCTAGCAGAGCAGCCATCAGGGGACATAAGTCCGCCTGGTTCAACTCCCTTCGACGACGTCCATAACCATGCACAGGAATACCGTACTGGTCCAGTTCTTCAGTTTGTAAAGGAGTGGATATCTTCTCCGATCCCGCCAAACCAGCACCCCAGACCAGCAACGGAGTGACGGTTTCGTGCAGAGAACCAGCTCCGTGGCTGCCTATCGTCAGAGATGGAAAGGAAACGACGGACATGAAATGGTGAGCGATTTGGAGACTGTCTCAACTTATTCTCATTGAACAGTATGGACGCTTGAATGCACCAAATCCTAGATCATGAAAACGACCTCACGGGGCAGAAGAAGATATGAATGTTTTCTCAGTTCTTCGTTTGAAAATTCTGCAATTGTATCAGAACGAAAGGAGGAGGATTGCTTCGATAACGCGCTAGAGTAGATTCTTTGATCACACACACTTCATGGATTACGTTGTTCTGAGCACGTGTTACGTATGCCACCAAATAGGGTAACATGGCGCGCGACGTCTGTCTAGGTAGGTAGTGGGTGGAAAAAAGTCAGTTTCAGTTCAGTTTTAACAACCATTAACCATGCACTTTCGTGCGCCGGTTTTGGTTGCTGTCTT